AGAAGAAGTTTAATTTTTTTTTTTAAATGTAGAATATCCTGTAAATTTGAAGTCACTACTGGCAAAATGACACCACTAGTGACATGTATGTAATCTTTACTCACATACTCCCATGACATTTGTGTCCTAATCTTTTGGCTCCAGATCTGCCTGGTCTCTCGTTGAGCTCGTCATGAGTATGACGGACAACACTATCGTTAAGAATTCAAATGTTGCTGACGTTTTTCGTGCAGATTATGTTGCAGCATACGTCAGACAACACTATCATTAATAATTCAAATGTTGCTGACGTTTTTCATGAGGATTATATTGCAGCACATGTCAGACAACACTTTCGTTAAGAATTCAAACGTTGCTGACGTTTTTCATGCAGATTATGTTGCAGCATATGTCTGACAACACTATCGTTAAGAATTCAAACGTTGCTGACGTTTTTCGTGCAGATTATGTTGCAATGTTGCAACAGATGGGAGTGGAGGAAAAACTCAGGCAAGATGGCGGGTCCGGTCTGAAACAAATCCGGTTGGACCTGGACGGGCCCAAACTCTACTACGTCACCAGCCACAGTGGTCTCTCTATGAACCACATCCACGACCACAGCCACACAATTCGGACGTTGGGCGTAGGGGCAGGGCAGGTCAGTTGATATGTTTTTTTTATTTACCATCAATCTTCTCTAGATAAAAAAAAATTCAATCTATATACTACTAAAACTCAAGTTTGTTTACATGTTTGAATATTTTTTTTTGTTTTTTTTTTGTTTTTCTGATTGACTATTGTAAATGGTTCTACTCTATGTGGAGAGCTGTAAAATAGTATATAGGTAGAGAACAATTTTTGTTTTCAGACATACTGTTAATCACAAATTTATTTAAAGACTTTAATTAATTTATTGATTTATTCATTGGTAGATTAACCACATTAATTTTAAAAGATTAGAAAAACTACTTGACTTGACGGAATAGTGACGTCACATTTTTTGTTAATATTTAGTACAATAAAATGGCGGCTTCTATCGAAGAAGATTGTGTTCCCATTCCCAAGTTTAACGCCTTCTAAAGCTGATTTTTTTTGTCGGCTATAACTTTAACAATACGTCCGTTTGCTGTATTTATTACGTTCCAACACTTAAAATAAATTTTCAACTGTCTTTTTTATTTAGTTTTACGATAAATTTCTCTAGATCTACAGATCAGCTGCCGAAGGAAGAACATACAAACATGTTATGAAATCTAGATTCTAGATCTAGATCTAGGTCACTAGACTTCACGTAAATTCTAGATCTAGACTTAATGGAAATTCTACATCTAGAATCTATTTCAGGCCTTATTTTATATAAATCTTTGTTTAGCTTCAATGAACATCTACTTCGAGAATACATCAGATTTATCTATCTAGGTTCTAGAGCTAGATATAGTAGGATTATTCGCTTTATTGGAGGCGTGGTCGGTTGCTACCAACAACAATGGCGTCCGGACCGGACGCATGACTTCCGACTATTTTTAGGCATGTTTACCACGAGCAAAATGGCGGGTTTTCACGTTATATAAACATGCTATAGATGGCCAGGGCTAGATATGCCAGAAAAGCATTTTAAAATTTGTTTTGGAGAATGAAGGCTAAATTTTGAATTCGGTGTCATTAAAATTAAATAGAACTTTTTAAAGGTCACCTGTGACGTCAGTATATGAAGGGATAGTGTGTTTTTAAACACAAAAAAAAGTCTTTTTGAATGTGGGCTCTGGTTATTTTGTGATGATTAGTGACAGACGTGATGTCATTTATGGATGACCCCCGAAACCCACAGTTAGCTAACTAGATAACGGGTAGTCTAGTATTTTTTTTTAAAATTTACCATCAATCGCTTCTAGAAATAAAAAATATACCATAATTTCCGTATACTATTTTCTAAACTATGTTGCATTGTTTATTTCCGCATTCTATTTTCTAAACGGTGTTGCATTGATTTGTTTCCTTGCAGTACGTTCTAAACGGTGTTGAGTTTCGGACCCGCCATGAAAATTTCAAGCTGCAGATGCCCGGTAAAACAAAACTGAACGGGGAAGTTGAAGACATACCTTTCCCTCCAGTACCCCACAATGTACTAAAGATGCCGACCGTTGAACAACAGGTAAGATAAAAATTAACATATGGTTGATTTTCATGTAAAGAAGTTACTTAACAACGCAGGTTATTGCGATCCCTAGTTAGATTGAATTATTATCTGTTTGTGGGAAGGATTTTTTTATACACTACCTAGAGAGCTCAGGAAGGAATATCTGTTACAGATCCCCGTGGCGAAGGAATGTTCTAGAGAATATAAGTTACTACATGTAAAATGGTAGAGAAAATATGTGCTTAAGTGCCTAAGTCTGATGGTGATAATTGCAGAGAGGTTAAGTGTTGACGATTCCTGGGCGGATTTAGCGTAAGTAGGGTCCTCGGCTGAAAATTTTCGGGGGCCCTTATATATATATATATATATATATATATATATATATATATATATATATATATATATATATATATATAAATATATATATATATATATATATACATATATATATATATATATATATATATATATATACATGTGTGTCTGTGTGTGTGGGGGGGGGGCGTTGGATATTATATTTTAAAAAATGAAGCTTGAGATGCAAATATTAGAACTTTAGTTTTTATAGTAAAAACCAAAAATCAAGCAGAAAATTTGCGGGCCCCTAAAAAATCGGGGGCCCCTGACTGCAGTCACCTCACCCTCCTCTTTTAATCTGCTACTTGTTGACATTGTTACCTAGATCAGGGGCATTGAGCAGAGGTTTTGTGTTGACATTGTTTCGTACATTAAGGGCAGGGGTTAAGGTTGACATTAACAAGTACATGATGGATATTGGGAACGGGTTTAGAATAGCTATCAAAACTCACCAGAAGTGCTATCAAAACTCATCAGAAGTGCTATCAAAACTCACCAGATGTGCTATCAAAACTCATCAGAAGTGCTATCAAAACTCACCAGAAGGGCTATCAAAACGTACCATTCCTGTACTCGCAGTACAGCTAGTTACAACCCTCTTGCTTATCTCTACAGATCAAGGAACTCCGCCATTATTTCCTAGCCTTCTCCAAAAGCGACACAAGGATACGGAACTACACCCCGTACTTCAGGCCTGTCCTATGTTACTTGGAAGGTGCATGGGTCACCAAGACGGAGAACGTAAAACCTCAGCTGATGGAAGGTGAACACGGTGTTGACGTCGAGACGTATTATGACCTACAGGTCTGTTCAGCTTATTTTCACACATGTGTGTGTGCATCTGTGTGTGCTTGTGTACGTGCACGTTTATGTGCATTTGTATGTGTACGTGCAAGTGTACGTGTATGTGCGTGCGTATGTTAATGTGTATGTGCATGAATGTATATGTGCGTGTTTTTTTTAAAATCTGTTTTTTTTTGTCTGTGTAGGAGAGGAATCGGTTTAACGGCCACACCGGCAAGGTCAGTCCCAGGGAGAATCACCCGCTGTTGCCGACGATCATCTCCAAGATCTCGGACTTTGGTTCCCCGACGTACGGCCAGTGGGACTACAGGATACTCTGTAATCCCATCGCTGACAGTCCGCATTACGAGGGGTAATTCAAACTGTCGATTCTACAGCCTCTGGACGATCTGAGTGTCCGACTTTCAAGAAATCTGCCGTGGTACTTGTACCAGGTAAGTAAAAATATGCCCGCATGTCTGGTCTGGTACACAAACCAGGTAAAAACATATGCCCATATATGCCTAAGGCCATTGAACTCTGAAATTAAAAAAAAATACAACTCTATGTCAATGTGCCCACGATGTCTCTTCAATGCCATCACAGTGCCATCTACTATGCCCTGTTGGGTCAGAATTCCACAAGCATCAATCCACTACCTAATTACAGGGTGCACCGTAGGGATGCTGACCAGTAGCCAGGGTTGTTAGCACCAGGGGGAATGTTTCGTTGGGTCACAAGTCAGTATATTTTATTGAATTCAGAATTATTCCACAGCATCCATTCACTATGTCATTACAGGGTACACCGTAGGGATGGACAGTAGGTGACCGCGTTCAAAGAGACTGGCCGCTTTGAAAAGACTAGTCTTTATACTGACCAGTAGCCAACGTTGTTAGAGCCAGGGAGGATAATTTGTTGGGTCACAAGTTTTGAGCGCATTGTCCCGTGGGAATACCTAGGGGGTTAGGACAGGGGTATAAATACAGGCAGGTTACATAGTCTCTCTCTCTCTCTCGCTCTATCTCTCGCACAAGCGCTCCGGTTAGGGGAAGCCTCGCTCAGCGGAACGAGAATTTATTGAATTAATAAATAGCACAAACTAAGAAGTCTCCTGTCATGTTCTATATTTTACTGTAGCTGACTCAGGTAGAATTATTAAATACCCCTAGACAATGACGGCCTTATTGGCTAGTGCCCGAGCCAGTGTCAGCAACGTATTCAGCCGGAGACTAGGCATACGGACTGCAAAATTGTAGTCCGGTCTGCAACATGCCCCACTTTGCTATCGATATATCATCGTTAATGGCATAACGGCGGTGTAACACTGTCGTAGGGTTACTAAATCATAGGACTAAGTGAGAGCTGTATCAAAAAAAGACTTACATTAAACAAGTTATCAAAGAAATACTGACAATACACACGTATATCAAAGAAATAATGACAATACACACGTATATCAAAGAAATGCTGACTATATACAAGCATTGTAATCCTTCCCAGATAAAGTTTGCCTGAATCCCATTCTCCCCCCCCCCCTCCCGTTAAGTATTTGCAAGTAGACAGAGTGTGTGGGTGCTAAGCTACAACAAAGTTCACTCGGGATTTCCTGATCGGTGGCGCCTGAAGAAATACAATATTGGGCAGTGCTTGCCTCCCCATCGCCGTGATGTAGTTTTATTTGGTTTTACCCTCTCTCTTCTCTTCAATAAACATGTTTAGTAAATCTTTTCCCCCCCAACAGATGTCGCCGGCTGCGAGGTTTTCCATTCAACACCGTTGGGACAATAAAATGAAGTATTTTTACTATCGGGATTATATCATGCAGGAAATACCAGGACGGGACAACCAAATGGTCGACATTAACGAAACATCTTTCGGCGGTGTGTGGTTCAATGGCGGATATAAAACAGCAAAGGTCCTCAATGTGGGGAAATACCACCACAGATACAAGGGGTTTAGAAGTTACCGTTCTGATATGCTGGGCTTCAGTGACCCCAATGCTTACTTTGCGGAAACTACACAAGAAGATGTCGTACCAGTGTCTTTAAAAAACAAAGGTAAACTAAACGTGAAACGGAATACTTGGGCCATACCTCTGGAGATTGTTTACCTGACCCCGCTGCTGTCGTGGAACCCTTACAACATCACCCACATTCCAGACAAGGATTACGTCACCAGGGACGGCAGGCACGGCGGTAACACACCCACAACGGCGTACGACGGGTATCATAATGAGTTATTTCACATCACGCCCTTTGAATTCTTTGCAAGGGACGATCCCAATTACGCGTTTGCTAAAAGAGTGGGCGTTCTAGACTCGCGGGGAATGTTAAGGAATTTGACCGCGTCCGGCACCAGAGTCTTCTTGCCCAACATCCCGGATGTTGGCGTTATACGTACACGGTTCCCTATCGTGCCAGTCCACGGGGAGTTCAGCCCGCCATGGAAAGAGATCAACGCTCTGAAAAAGATCGTGAAGGAGATGCACAAACACGGTGACCTCCTGTACAAAAAACTGATCAAGCCTTAACTACCTACGCTCTGAAGAGGTTTTATTTAACCAATATGTATCACATGTTTGTGAATATGACTTGTATTCGCTGTTTTATTTCAAACACCTTGGCGTCATTATGTGTAAATAAAAGTAGTTTTGTCTCTTATATCTGAAGTCCAAATATTTGCCACTATTCCATTGAAATCATCATCGGGTTCTTACCTATTCCATGTATATTTTTGGTTAGTTTCCGTATTTAACTTAAGTTAACATTTTGGTGAAATAAAATACCTGTAAAATGTGTAAAGCAGACTAAAAAAATTCATAAAAAACGTTTCAACAACAAGCTTTTATTTAATAATGCACATCAAAGTAGAAAATAAATTATACACTACTTTTTAAATAACTATAAAGAAAAGTGTGGGTCTCTTCCTAAATATTTGTAAAAGTATCCAATAGATACTAAAGTGACCCACGCTTTTCTTTATAGTTATTTAAATAGTAGTGTATAATTAATTTTCTACTTTTTAGTGCATTACTAGACTTACCCGTCATCCCTTGGATAACTGTGGGTTTCGGGGGTCATCCATAAAAAACAAACATCACGTCTGTCACTTATCGTCACAAAAAACCAGACCCCACATTCAAAAAGATGTTTTTTTATCTTTTAAAAACACCAATTTCGGACTATCCGTTCATATACTGACTCTACTTCACCTGCCCAGTGTCCCGCCAAGTCTCAGACAACATGTTTTTATCGTTTAAAAAAACGGTTCCGGCCGAGCATGTCTCTGACCACACTATCCCTTCATTTAAATTTTTAATTTTTTAATTTTAATTTTTTTAAATTGATTTAAATGTGTTGTTTACTTGTTGTTTAATTATATCTTGCATTGTCATCAAAATTATTGATTTGTACTTTAGATTGATTTGATTGAATGTTATGTATGCTAACGTCATACCATATTTAGTTTTTACGCGTCATTATTTTGGTGAAATTTAAATGTAGCCATTTTAAACGGTGTGTCCTTTGACACGTCGTACTATAACGTTGTTGTTTTTTAAAACTTGAAGTTTATAATCTTAATCAAATTTTTACTAAGGTGATCAAAAATTAAGATGACAATGCAAGATATAGAAAAACAAAATACATTGATTGGTAAAAATAAAAAATTGTAATTAGACGTAATGTCTTATGTATAAGTAAACCTTCTTAAATTTAAGAAGTTCAAGTCAAAAAGAAGTTTGATGAAAACTGTAATACTAAAGCGAACATGGGAAGGTAATCTGGTGCAAGACTAAGATATAAATTCGTCTTCCTTCTAGGTTCATTGTCTTTTTTGGATGAGGTTAAACATCGCCATGTTTTCAAATATCGCGATGCAAACCCCGTACTCTCCCCTCTTACTTAGTAATCACATCGTCTACCCATTGTTTACAAGACTCTTACAAAGAAAAAATATCCCACCCCTCTACTTGAGACATAAAATACAAAAGTGTATTGTGCCTTGTCGTCACAGAAAACAAAAAAGGGTGGCGTCTAATGTTGTTAACCCTTGTCTTCCTAAATTATTTTTTAACTTGTTAAAGAAATTGAATGTTTAGTTAAGGATTCTGACGCGAATATGTTTCACAAGGGACGATACTCGTGGCTGTAAACAAGTCTGTTCTAATTTTAGAACAGTTGTCTTTCCTCTCGTTTCTCTATTAGGGAAGACACGCGACACGACTTTTAAAATGTAAACAAACGTGCACGAGGAGCACTTAAAATAAACCCCGCTGCGAAAATGACAACGAGATGGTGACACTTTTTGAAAAACACTCTTTCATGTAAATAAAATAAGGTTCGCTTTTGTTGTCGCCATGATAATGTATACCTATAAGTTCTCTCCGCCTTTACCGACCTAGTATGAATTTCGCGCGCGCGTGTATGTGTGTGTGTGTGTAAGTGTGTGTATGTATGTGTGTGTGTGTGTGTACATGTATCTCAAAAAAGCGTATCATGTCAACACCTGGGCAACAAGTCATAGTCAAATAGGCCTAATTCATTACAGATCTATTGGAAACCCCTCTTTACATGTACTTACGTTAGGAAAAGTAAACTCGGTTGAATCAAAAAATGTATTTAAATATATAGTGTTATAGAACCTTAAAGTTAACAGATGATGAAAAAATAAAATAAAAAAATTAAAATTAAAATCCACCTCCTCACCCACCTCACTCAGGTGGTAGAGTCTTTTACTATATATCCTTTACTCCTACTCGTGTTCCCCCTTCACCCACCTTCTCCACCTTCACCCACCTTTCACCCTTCACCCACCTGCTCACCCTTCAACCACCTGTTCACCCTTCACCCGCCTGCTCACCGCCCTCACCCATATTACTATAATCGAATATGTATTGAACACTTGTTAAGTTTACACCGTGATATTTTAAAAGCCTTTGATGACTTGGAAAAAACGTTAATAAATAAATAAAATATAAGAAGACTTTTGTTTTAATTTTAGTGTGTGTGTGTGTGTGTGTGTGTATGTTAGGTGAATGTGTATACGTTTAACATACTCGTACCAGGAAACTTAAAAACCCATGACACTGTACGTTTAACTGTTAGTGGAAAGTGTGGTACCAGCTGTTGCACAACTGATGCACAGCTGTCGCCTGATGGTTAATGGATACACGCACTCGACACGGGTCGATCAATACATTCCCATTCAAAAACGCGCAGCGCCGGGGAGGTTCTCGGGCGGATCGATAAGTAACAGCTGTCGCATGTTGGCTACGCTGACAAGCACTAATGGCTTCGATTAATTACCTGCTGTGATCGCTTCAGTTAACCCGCTATTAAGCAACCACGGGCAGCGCCGGGGAGGTTCACGGGCGGATCGATAAGTAACAGCTGTCGCTAAGGACTAATAGCTGTGGTTAAATGGATGTTGAGAGAAAGAATGTTCTAGTACACGCTAGTGTTGGTCTTTTATTTTAAACGGCGTACAACAAAGAAATTAAAATCAAACTAATTAAAATGAATTTCAAACAAATAATCTAATTAAATTAAACAACAAGTAAACAACAATTAAATCAATTTAAAAAAATTAAAATTAAAAAATTTAAAATTTAAAAATTTAAAATCAAATAACGTAACTCGTTAATAAAAATTACACAATATAAACAAAGTAACTAAATTAAAATCAAACTAATTAAAATTACAAAATTAAAATTTAAAATAAACAAAATAAAATAATTAAAAAGTAAACAAATAATCAAATTACGTAACTCGTTAATAAAAATTAAGTAAAATTAAAAAAAACTCATTAAAACTAATTAAAAAACGCATTAAAATTACGTAACTAGGTCACTGATTACGTCACAAGGTCACTAATTACGTCACAAGGTCACTGATTACGTCACAAGGTCACCGAAGATTACGTCACAAGGTCACCTGTGGTGACCCAGCCTCACCCTCCGCATCCCACAGGTGGGGGAGTATTTTACTATATAACATGTTTAACCCTCACCATCCTGCTCCCCCAAGTGGGGGAGTATTTTACTATATGTCGGTGTACCTCACCCTCCCCCAGGGAGTATTTTACTATATCTCGTTGTACCTCCGGATCCGCCGCCTCACCCTGGTGGGTGAGTATTTTGCTATATGTCATTGTACCTCCGCATCCCCCAGGCAGGGAGTATTTTCCTATATAGCCTTTGTTCACCCTCACCCTCACCCTCCGCATCCGCCTCCCCCATAATACCCAAAAGGGACCTAATATACTACTCATAGGGTCTATCTAGATCTAGATCTAAGTCTAGTAACTTTCAAATTAAATTTTATCATAAATTAGCCAATTGCATAGCTAAACAAACACAGATTTATAAAAAATAATGAAGGTCTGAAATAGATTCTAGATGTAGAATTTACACTAAGTCTAGATCTAGAATTTACGTTAAGCCTAGTGACATAGATCAAGTCTAGATCTAGAAATAGATTCATAACATTTTCTTCTTTCGACAGCTGATCTGTAGATCTAGAGAAATTTATTGTAAAACTAAATGAAAAAGACAGTTGAAATTGATATAAGTGTTGGAACGTAATAAATACAGCAAACGGATGTATTGTTAAAGTTATAGCCGACAGAAAATTAGCTTTAGAACGCGTTAAACATTGGAATGTGAACACAATCTTCTTCGATAGAAGCCGCCATTGTTGATGTAAAAAGTAAACAAATCATGTGACGTCACTATTCAGTCAAAGTAAAGCCACTGTTTGAAACTTTTATAATTAATGTGGTTAATCTACCAATGAATAAATCAATACATTAATTAACGTCTTTAATTACATTTGTGATTAACAGTCTGTCTGAAAACAAAAATTGTTCTCTACCTACATACTATTTTACAGCTCTACACATAGAGCAGATTTTCTCCAGTAGCCAAACAGACAAAAAAAAATATTCAAACATGTAAACAAACTTGAGTTTTAGTTGTACTAGACTACCCGGTCATCCCTTGGATAACTGTGGGTTTCGGGGGTCATCCATAAATGACATCACGTCTGTCAGTTATCACACTATAACCAGACCCCACATAATACCAAAGACGTTTTTTATCTTTTAAAAACATCGATTTCTGCTGAGCAAAGGTCTGACCACACTATCCATTCATATATGACGTCACAGGTGACCTATTCAACTCTACTTCACCTGCATAGTGTCCCGCCAAGTCTCAGACAACATGTTTTTATCGTCTAAAAAAACGATTCCGGCCGAGCATGTCTCTGACCACACTATCATTTTATTTGCTTAGGACAAAGAAACAGATGAACTCTACTTCATCTGCCCTGTATCACGCCAAGTTCAGATAGTCAAAAACAGCAAACGGACGTATTGTTAAAGTTATAGCCGACAGAAAATTAGCTTTAGAACGCGTTAAACATTGGGATGGGAACACACTCTTCGATGGAGGCCGCCATTGTTGATGTAAAAAGTAAACAAATCATGTGACGTCACTATTTAGTCAAAGTAAAGCAACTGTTTGAAACTTTTATAATTAATGTGGTTAATCTACCAATGAATAAATCAATACATTAATTAACGTCTTTAATTACATTTGTGATTAACAGTCTGTCTGAAAACAAAAATTGTTCTCTACCTACATACTATTTTACAGCTCTACACATAGTGCAGATTCTCTCCTGTAGCCAATCAGACAAACAAAAAAAAATATTCAAACAAACTTGAGTTGTAGCAGTATAAAGTTTAAGATAGATTACATAAAAGCTTGTTATTAAAACGTTTTTTACTTTCTCGTATATACGAA